AGACTACGCCAATGAGGTCTAACAGTCCATTTGGTGAGTCAAATAAGTGCTAAATTTCGTGTAATGTAAAAGGTAGGGATTAGTCCATTTAAAGGTGTGTGAAAAACTTCAAAAAAATTGTGAGTATCCTTTTAGATTGTCCTTATATAAATTATAAATACCATTTGTAACACACAATTACACATGTGAATAAGTTTTCTACAAGATAAGAAAGTTACTCCATAGCGTTTTCTTTCAACTACTTTACTCATAAATTTAGTACACGTATACTGTATACATTAATACATGGTAATACTGAAGTTGACAAATATGTTGAAGTCTAAATTCATGATTGAAATGATTAAATTAAGTGAATTTGATCAATTATAAAGTAGAAATATTTAAAATAATTTTCTTAAAACTAAAACTCCCTTTCTTAGCTTTCAAGTGAATTTAACCAGATAAGAGCTTACTTATTAATACGTAACATGCATATTTGTTATACTGGGTTATGTACTTGTATATAATTGTATACATAAATAAAAGACTAAAGAAGTGAAGATGACATTTTAATTTAAATGAATTGCATTTTGTAAGTTGTGTCATCCTCATTTAAAGGTCATTTATGAGCTGAGAAAGGCTAATGAAGACTGGCCGGTATCTATTCCTAACATTCCTTATATTTTTACTTACAACTTATATTTATAGAGGTCATAAATATTGTATTATATCATGGGCTAATAATAACTAGGCAACATATAAAAGAAAATTAAAATTGAAGTATGTATACGTCCTAAAATATTCACTCAAAAGCTAATTAAGTAATATAAGGTCTTGACTGCGTAAAGTACACGTGCATAATAGAATCTAACATTTTAATTTAGTGGTAACAAAATTTGAAATGGGTCACCGTTAAAGCATTTGTCCCACACCGAAAATCTATAAAACAATTAAATACTATATAAGTCTTTGAGATACTCCTCCTATCAAGTTTACCTTTTAGGATGGATACCCGAGTCTTAACATGGTATCAGAGCCTATTCCGGTTGTGATTTGATGGCTTGTTCAGCACCCATGATTAAGGGTAGCTTGTTAAGGGTTTGTTTGGCCCGTTTATACACCCCGATATTGTCCAGCTCGATTCGGGCTGAGGGGGCATGTTAAAGCATTTGTCTCACACCGAAAATTTATAAAACAATTAAATACTATATAAGATTTTGGGCTCCTCCTCCTATCAAGTTGACCTTTTAGGATGGATACCCGAGTCTTAACAATTACAAAAAGATTTTGCACTAGAAAAGTTAACAAAACACACACATGGTAAATCGTGGACAAAATGGGGGAATTGAGAAAAGTGGGGGTTCAGATACATCCTTACTAAAGTTAACGATGTCCGGCCTTTTATTGATGAAGTGATGTTGTACGTACTTGTCCTCAACAAGTTTGGTTATTCGCTAGGTTGGTTTTACTGCATGCCATGTTATCATTTTTTTGCTGACACTTGAGATTTGTGGCTATAAGCATTGGGTAATTGAGGGCAAATGTATGGGAAGATCCTCGATCTTCATAGAGAGCGTTTAGGACTATTGAAGGATAATGTGTGTTTTAGCCAAATTAAGCTAAATTCTGAATAATGATTGTACGGGAATCGAGCAACTAAATAGTAATAATAATAGATTACTATTCCAATAAAAGCTTCCTGCTTCTTTGTAATCGTTTTTTTTATAATAGATTACTAGAGTTCAAAAGTGGGGTTTTTTTTATCATAGTTGATCGTGTATTTAAGCCCTCCCCCTTGATCCATACACAGTATATTAATTAATACATGATTTTCTTTCCTTGGATGTTTAAATCATCCCAAGTCTTGGACTTCCTTTCTTCAAGTATTCTTTCCGTTTTTAGTTGGATTGTGCGTTGACCACTCCGTTGGGCTCTTCGTTGCTGCCTAGAAAATACGTTGGCCCAAATTTGTTTGGTAATTTCTGGGCTTTACAGTGTGCATTATGCCATTATCTTTGGATAGGCAATATGCATCTATCTAAAGATTTATATACCCTCAAAACATACAACACGTTAATGTGTGTAGTGGGAGGTCAGAGGTGTACATTTTTTGTTTGTCAAAGGAGATATCAGATGTTTAAGACCATTGCCTTTGTGAGCACCATTTTAGAGGGAATGTAAGAGACCGCGCCAATTTATGGTAATACACACCAAGTTGAGGAGATGATTATGGAAAACAAATGTTTAGAGAAGTTATTGCGTAGTACGGAGTATATCATTGAGAAGTTTTAGTGCGTGCATGTTAGGGTTTCAACAATACCACCATCATTGATGTCAATGGGGTAGAGTTTCAAAGGGTTAAACAAATAACAATATTAATGAAGTTGAAATAAAGTAGATAAAGCCCGGAGCGTAAAATCATATTCACAACTTGAAGCTTTATAGCTCATGCATTAAATTATTTATGGTGGTCGACATCGAGCCAAATGATTCTATATTCTAAAATGTTGCAAGTCACGGGCTCACGGTGACTTAGTTAGCTCAATGGTGATAGACTGTGTACCCGTGTGCGTCAGAGATCCAATCCAACATGCATGAGTTAAGCTCCACATGACCGCTGCGAGTCTTGATCTTTGGTCAATCTTCCAATTCAACTTTGCTACCATTCAACCAACTAAGCAACCCATGCGGATAAAAATTAATACGTGCGGAAATAGTAGAGCTCTATTCTAAACTGCTGAACCAGCAACCCTTATGAGAGTGAGAAAATATTTATGGGTGAGAAGAAACAATAGATCAAGATCATACTCATGTATGTTTGTCATTTGTCTAACAAAACGGAAGCAATTTCATTAATAGTCAACTCTATCATAAGTATTCTAAGCTGTTCCCTGATGCATAGGAGATTACGAGCACTAATGCAAAAAATCATACGGAGTATATATCAAATTGAGTGATAGCAAGCCCTCATGTTGCATTATAACTCCACACTTTTGCATACTTAAAATCAAAAGTAATTAAAAAGTATTGTTTGCTCACTACTATCTTAAAGATAAAATAGTTTGTTCACAACTATCATAAGGCAGTGTCAGGCTTGTGCTGGTAAGGCTCCATTGAATCGTGGGCTATCATGCTTGGTTGATGGTTAGTGTTGGATACCAAGTTATCAATTGTTGGATTATACACTAATTTAGTTGACATATGACATATCCATAAATCGAAATGAAACACTAGGTAACTAATATACTATCGAAATAAGCAATGATTCGGGATATGTGGATATGTGTGATAAGAACATAAAAGTAAAATCAACGGGGTGAACCGTTGCCCAGATAATTAACGATAAATTAATACCGTTGCCCAGAGCTTAAAGGCTAAACCAAACTTTTATTCCAAGATGATAAGAATGAACCCTGGCGAGGGGTATAAATCCTACTAAGTACTCTACTAAGTAGGCCCATACTACTCTACTAAGTACTCTACTAATAAAAGGCCCAAACCAAAACATAACATTAACTTAAAATAATACTCCCTCCGTAACTTTGAAATCTTCTCATTTCAAAAGTAGGTAGATTAAGAATAGTGAAAGATGATATGAATTATTGAGGGTATGATGGGAAAATTGTGGAATAATGTGGTGGAATGTAGGATAAATCCAAAAAAAGTAGTTGTAATAGTGTATTATTTTAGAAATTATTGAGGGTATGATGGGAAGATTTAGAAATGAGAAGATTTTTTTGTTACGGACGAAAAAGGAAAGTGGGAAGATTTTTAAGTTACGGAGGGAGTAATAAATAATTATACAGACAGCCCGTAACCGGCCCACGGAAGTGGGCCCAAGCCCGGTCACGCCACAAGCTCTTCCCGCTTCATATCAATGTGCTACTCCCTCCGTCCCTAAATAAAAGGCATTGTTTCCTTCTTCTTCTATTTTACTTTTTTATTTTTAATTTTGTTTTTTACTCCAGGGGGGTCTGGGGTTGGGGGCCCCTGGAGTAATCAGGGCTGAAATTCACTCCATTGAGTTTCGAACTCTTATGTGCCTAGCGGGTTTCGAACACGAGACCTCCCACTAGACACGGTAACCTCACAATCAGCTGGACTGGAATGCTTAGTTTAAAAGGCATTGTTTCCTTTTTGGGTTGTCCCAATATAAAAGGCTCATTTTCCTTTTTGGCAAACAAAACCGTGCAAAACAGTGTCAAACAATATCATACAATGTTCAAACAGTGCCAAACTGTATTCCTTCTTAGGTTGTGTGTCAGTCAAATTATGCATTTATATAAAGACGGAGGGAGTATAAATTTGTTAGAGAAAAGACTCTAAAAATGGTGATAGAGAGCTCTTCCCCACTAAAAAAGTTCCTACTTTAAAGTTTGACAAGAGGCATAGATTAAAAGAATACAATTAATTACTCCTTCTGTCCATTAAAACTTTATCAAATTTGACCGACATGAGAATTAATAAAGTAAAAATTATGTGGTAGAAGTTTGTACAGAGGAGACAGAATTAAATGGAACCACAAATTCTTTATTTAAAATGGAAAGTGACAAAGTTAGTAAAATTTTAAGGGTCGGAGGTTCTGTACTACATAATTTAAGAATAGAATTTGAAATATAAAATAATTTAAGAGGAGAGTTTGAATTCAACAGAAAATATGAATCTCCTTAAAAAAAGAGAAAATATGAATCACATAATTTAAGAAAATGAAATATAGAATTATTTATTTTTTGAAACGAAATAAACAATCACATAGAGACAACTAACCAAATGCCCTTTTTAGACTCCGGTCCACTCCCATTCAAGCTAATTCTTCTTTTCAGGAACATTGCAACTCTGACTGTTCTTTTCCAAACACACACAGAACAAATCGAGCAAAGACGTCCCTCGCCGCCGTCACCGGCGTTTCTCCGGAACAAGTAACTACTCTCAGTGCCCAAGCACAAGAACACCAGTCAAATAGTAGTTGCTCCTCCAAGGATGTTTCTCTCAAGCTCCACCAGCATTTTCATCTTCTATTTCTTAATCCCTTCATTGTCTCCGCTGGTAATTGCTTCTACCTTCAATCTCACCCTTCCTCATCAACACCCCTACCCTGAAGATGTGGTTCAGGAAGTGCAGAGGTAAATGGAACCATTATTAACCAGTTATTTGAGTGAATCTCGGTTTAAGAGCTCTCCTTTAAGTTTTCGATCTGGGTCTTTTCAAAAAAAAAAAACAAAAGATTTCACCTTTATTTCCCCAATTTCTATCACTTGAAAAGTGGAGTATGAGACTAATGGGAGTACGAGACTACCCTGTTTTTTTTTGTTCTGGCATTTTGACGAACACTTCCTCTTCAATGTGCAGGAGAGTTCATAAATCCTTTACCGGGAGAGTTTTGCTCTCGACGACGGGAAACGACCAGTGTTTGACCGGAAACCCAATCGACGACTGCTGGCGGTGCGACCAGAACTGGGCCAACAACCGGCAGCGTCTAGCGGACTGCGGCATTGGGTTCGGGCAGTCGGCGATGGGCGGCAAAGGCGGCGAGATCTACGTGGTCTCGGACTCCTCCGACGACGACACGGTGGAGCCGAAGCAGGGCACGCTCCGGCACGCGGTGATCCAGACGGAGCCGCTCTGGATCGTGTTCGCCGCCGACATGACCATAAAGCTGAAGCACGAGCTGATATTCAACAGCCACAAGACCGTCGACGGGCGCGGCGCGAACGTGCACATCACCGGCGGCGGCTGCATCACGCTGCAGTACATCAGCAACGTCATCATCCACAACGTGCACATTTACGATTGTGTCCCGACGGGGAACACTAACATACGGTCGACCCCAACGCACGTCGGGTGGAGAAGCAAATCGGACGGCGATGCGATATCCGTGTTCGGGTCAAGGAATATCTGGATCGACCACTGCGCTTTGTCTCACTGTACAGATGGCTTGGTTGATGTCATAATGGGGTCCACCGCCATCACGATCTCCAATAGCTTCTTTTCCCACCACGATGAGGTTATGCTTTTGGGACATGACGATAAATACTTGCCTGACACCGGTATGCAGGTGATTTACTATTTTGCCCTTTATCGTCTTCCTTTTGAATCTTTTGGATTTAACTTGACAGCAACAAAGGGAATCTGATTACCGAAACAAACTGGTCCATAGTACAAGGAGGGTTTGAATTTGATTCTAAAACCGTTTTTGCTCTTTAAGGAAGTAGAAGTTGAGTGTTTGAGTGAAAAAACAATGCACTAATTTACTTTTAAAAACTGACTCTGAGGGGTTGCTTGGAACCAATTCTGCTTCTACTTCTTTTTTAAAGCAGAAACAAAATCAGAATCAGTTTTCAAAAGCTGGTCTCCACCAGCTTCTTAAAAAATTGATTCTAGAAGTAAATTAGAGCACCAGAAGTACTTCTACACTTTCATCCTAACACTCCAACTTTTGTTTTGCTCCCTAAAGGAACAGAAGCAGTTTTAAGAATCATATCCAAACACCCCTTTTTTTTTGAAAGATATCCAAACACCCCTGATTCTGCTTCTACTATAAAAAAGAAGTAGATCCAGAATCAATTCCAAAACAGCCCCTAAAAATGCAAAAGTTTTTGTTGGATACTCTATTTTTGTACACATTGTTATTACTTATTAGGGGTGGACATGATGGGTTAATCGGATTTCGGTTGACGGAGATATCAGTTACCGAATTTTATACGTAATACGGAGTGGACATAACATGATTTGCTTTCAAATCAGATATATGTACCATAACATTGGTTAATCGGGTGCCGGTTAACTAATATTTCGTTTAAACATTAACGCTTAATCAATAAATTATAAAATCATGAAAAGAGAAGATGAAGTTGTCAATATTTTCGGTTCACAGGTTAACCAAAAAATACATTGATTTTTTAATTTGTTTAATGGGTTACTGTTTTTTGCCCACTCTTAATTGCTACACATATCTGATGTTTGTGAATAACCTCTGAACAAGCTATTCCCATAAAAAATAGGAAAATAGTCTTCTAATGGACTTGTGTACTAATATGTTAAAAAAGTGTATATATAAATAGTTTTGCTTTCTTTTTTATTCAAGAAAAGGTCAAAGACTTTTCTTCCCTGTGAGAAAAGAGTCCAACTGTATTACCACATTTTTTTGTTGTTATTACGAAAAAGAGTCACTTGTATTTAAAGGGGCTTTATTTGAATTTGATGTCCGTTAGAGGCTCTCAAATCATGAATTTTGATTTTAGTTAACTTAAATGAAGAAAATTCTATATTTCATAACATTGGAAATGAAGAAAATATGTGGTAAATGTTGGGATAGGTTACAATTGCATTCAATTACTTTGGAGAAGGGCTGGTACAAAGAATGCCTAGATGCAGAAGAGGGTATATACACGTGGTCAACAACGATTTCACGGAATGGCAAATGTATGCCATCGGCGGCAGCGCTAACCCCACCATCAACAGCCAGGCCAACCGCTACGCCGCCCCCGCCAACCCCAGCGCCAAGGAGGTCCATTCCATTCCTCTATTTTATTCTTCTCTTCTCCCCAATTTGGCTTTAGGTCTAAAAAGGGGGTGCTCGTGTGGAACACGCGCCGCCGTGGGGTCGGGAGCTGACTAGTGTGGTTGTTGTGTGGGAGACAGGTCACGAAGCGCGTGGATATCGTGGACGAGGGAGAATGGAGTGACTGGAACTGGAGGACAGACGGGGACATAATGGTGAATGGAGCGTTTTTCGTGCCTTCCGGCGACGGGCAGAGGCTGACAACTCAATATGCCAAGGCGTCAAGCCTGGAGCCGAAGTCAGCGGAGCTCGTTGACCGGCTCACCATGAACGCTGGTTGCCTCGGAGGATCCAGGTACGGTTGTATTATAGACAATGCTCTTTATTTTTTGTTTATTTATTTATTTGGAGCTACTAAGTACAAGTTAAAGCAAAAGTTAACATGTTTTTAGTTGGATCAAATTTTCTAATTTGATCTGGTCTAGTCTTGACTGAATTGATCTAGTATATTGTACACGTCTATGTAATTGTGTTATATTTATTGGTTAGTCTAATATGGCGTGAGACTTGCTTAAACAAGTCCAACTAATGTGTTAAAAGTTATTGAAAAAGTTCGGTGTACTAACCATTCTATTTTTTTGTTGGCCACAACGGTATCTTCACTTATTAGTAGGTATATTTTCTCATTTCCATTAAAATTGTCTCATTCTTCTTTTTCATATCTTCATTAAAATTTTCACATACCAAATTTGGTAATATTTGTGTAGTTTTAAAGTATTTTTATTTATTTTTTAGTTTATTGATTCAATAGCAACCAAACTAACTCATTTTATTTTTCTTAGTAAGCACCACTTCCTCATATTTTACTCGTAATTGTTAAAAAAAGGATGACACCCCATCCTGGAGGGCCCCCAACACCGACCGGACAGCACGATGGGAGGATGTAAGTTGGACTATAATCACAACCTGACAGATGGAGAGTGGGGCTCCGTCCCCAGTACTTACAGAGGCCCTACGCATTTTTCAGCATAGTAACCTCTTAGCGCAGTTGCCAGGATTCGAACCCGAGACCTAACCCTCGTGGCACTCTCTCGCTACCAGTGTTACTCGTAATTGTTAGTGTGACCGGAGGTATATTACTACAACTTTTTCGGCGGAAACGACTGTGAAAATGATTAGGTGAGGTGTGAAGCGAGGCAGGTAGGACCTAGTAAAAACTTTTCTTAACTTTTTAAGGTTCGGGTCCCCATCTTTGCCAGAATGAGAAATGGATGATTGACTACTGTAGGCTAGTAATGTGTGAGAGTAGAAACAAAACTTGGGGAAGGGAATAGTTGAATGAGCTGAAAGTAAGCCAGCTGATCCACGTGATCAATGGAGAAGTTAGTCTGACAGTGCACACTACCAACGAATCTTTCACCATCTCCTTCGTTTTACCAGCTCTGATGTTATTCCAATATGATTGAATAAAAAATGAATGAACCTGTAAAAATGAAAAAAGGTGATTGAGATAGGGATACATTTGCTATAATTGTACCAAAAGTCTACTTACACAGAAAAATGTGAGTTCTACATAAAAAACATTAAAGGGTCATGTAGGAAACTCAACACAATTAAAGCATGTTTGGTAAATACTCAAAATTGGTGTTATGGGTGATTTTGCTGAAATTTATGAAGTTCTGACCGGAGTGGCTAGATTGGCTGATCATGGTGATTTATGAAAAAATTATTATTAATAGAATAAAGAAAAATATATAAAAAACAGCTAAAATGATCATCAACTGTGGTTTTAGTCAATGCAACCAGAAAAGTATGTTCAACCTTACTTTGTCTTATTATTACACATTTCAACGAGCCAAATAAAAAACTACGTGCTTGGTGAAAAAGTTGGTTGATAAGCTGAATAACAGGATCACCAAACCAGCTCTATATAGCAAGACTACGGCCTTGTTTGGTAATCGGCTGTTAGCTGGTTAAATTAGCTGTTTTGACCGGCTGATTGTTTTAGCTGTTTTGACCGGCGGTTGGGTTAGCTGATTCTCTTTAAGTGTTTGGTAAAATTAGATGTCTGGTAAATATAATGTATGAACTTATCCAACTTCTATGAAATTTTATTAAAATTATTTACTCCCTCCGTCCCATTTATATTGTCCCGTTTTACCTTTTCGGGAGGTCCCACTTAAATTGTCTCATACCATATTTGGCAAAGTTTGTGTGACTCTAAATCATTCTTACTTTATTCTTACTTTATCAATTAATATTAACCACACAAACCCACTTTTCTTAATAACCGTGTCACCCTCTTCCGGGACAATATAAATGGGATGGAGGTAGTAGTTTGAGTGGTATATTTCATTTTATTGAAGGAAGTAATTCTTAGAAAAATCAAATTTTAAATACAAATAATTGCTTTACTAAAAAATTATTTAGTTTTATAAATTAACTTTATTATTAATTTATTTACTTATTTATGTATTTATTTATTTATTGATCTATATATTTATTTATTTACATACTTATATTTTTATTTATTTATTTATTTTCCACCTTGATTTAATAATCATCTTCTAAATGATATAGATGTACCTATAATAGGAATAACAAATTATTTGAAAGGAAAAACAATGGAGGACTAAGAAAAAGAAAAGAAAACACCAAATGTTAGCCACGTAACTTTGTTCAGAACAAAGAATCATACACGGAGTAGGATAATCTGATCCCAAACGCTGCTCACAGCAGCTTCTTCAAACTTGGCGTTTCGAATGAAAAAGCCGACTTAAAAATCTGTTTTACAAACGTTTATTTTGGTTGGTCAATTAGTCAAACCAGCTAAATATGGTCAAACCAGCTAAAAAATGGCTGATAAGCCATTTACTAAACATGGCCTACGTGGTTAGAGAATTTGAGATTTGGCTTATATCTTTTGAGTTTTGACATTTTCAGTCTTATTACCCTACTCTAATGAGAGATAATGTAAAGTGAGAAAAGTCATTCCCAACTTTGAAAAGCTCTTCATTTAGATTGAAACTCACTCGTTTTGTCGGATTTGAACCGGTTTAATTGTGTTATTATCTAATCAGATTTTATACTAGTTTAGTAAATGTGTACTTTACTATTATCTAAGTTTTTATGTGGTCTGAATTGCGTTGGGTTCTGACTAAAATAAGTTGAAGCAATGACGATTTCTTTCTCTCTATTTTTCATTTTCCAGATTTAAGTCATCTATTTAAAAAAAATGATTAGGGAAGACTAAAGGCTATTTCATTTAAACCTGAAATGTATTAGTGCGGTCTGAATTGTTACATTTTTAATGTTATATTTGATTTAATCTGATCTATTTAAATCTGAACAAATCCTAAAATTAGCCGTCCAGACCCTATAGGTACTTTCTTTATGTGTCCCACCAATATTCCCAGACAGGATTGCTGATATAAAAATAATGGTTTATGACAATTCATTCCAAGGGCGGGTGTCTGTCTATACAAGAGATGAGGTTACAAACTTAAGACCGGGTCATGTTAGGTTTGTACACATACATATATTTGAAGTGGTTGATTAGACTCTGCTGCTTCATACATATATACCTTTTCGTTTTCTCTATAATAATTGCTTGAGGCAGTGGGACCCACTCATTCCATCATACAACTAACTTATAGGCTAATTGCTTGTGCCACTAGTATTATTTAGTAGATCAAGTTGTATTAATAATGTATTACTCCATAACATATTAGTTGATCAAGTTGTATTAATAATTATCTTTACTACTATCTCCCTCCCTTAAAATTTTATCATCTCTATAGCTTGGGACCATGATTTTGAGTAATATAATATGGAGTATTATACTCTCTAGAAGTTATGTATTTTGTACGTTTATGAAAGTATTTTTAACAAATAAATTTTCAATAAAAATATATACTTGTCAAAGTTAGATAAAGTTTTATACGTAGTAGGAGAGAAGGAATGAGTATTATGTATCGAGTCCCGTTCTTGTCTAGCCGGCCTGACGGGAACCGCCGTCCGGCCGAGGGCATTTCAGGCACTTTCCGATCGAATTTTTTGATGAAATTTTTTGAGCATGTTCTTCATCAAGTCTAGTTTATCCATACCAAATTTCAGCTCAAAATTCGATCGGGAAGGCATTGAAATAATTTTTTGAAGTTGACTGCGTCAAAATATACATATAAAAACGCAGTCAACTTCAAAAAATGATTTGAATGCCTTCCCGATCGAATTTTGAGCTGAAATTTGGTATGGATAAACTAGACTTGATGAAGAACGTGCTAAAAAAATTTCATCAAAAAATTCGATCGGGAAGTGCCCGAAATGTCCTCGGCCGGAGGGCGGTTCCCATCAGGCCGGCTGGACATCAAGTTTTCTCTTATGTATCATCATGACAAGCCAAACACTACAATAAACCCTTTATGGCCTTTTGTGGGTCAGATATAGCAAGCATCCTATGTCTCTACCAATTGCAAATTTCATCCACGGAATTTCCCATTTTCCCCTCTTGTGCTCAAAGGCAGGACACTAACATGTACTCATTCTTTAGCTATTTGATAAATCTAGTCTCTATAAGCATTTTAAAACTGCAATTTATACTTAAGAGGAGATAAAATTAATTCAAATTAAAAAACTCAAATCAATCACTTCCCTTATATAGAGTCAATTATTTTTTCTATTTCAGTATTAATATTTAGTAAATATAAATCTGGAATCGGCTGAATTTGCTGAAATTGATGAAGTTTTGGCAGAATATATTGAATTAAGAAAAAATCAATCTAAATTATAATTTGTAAGGAAATAAAGAAAAGGTTATGAAAAAGTGCTAAAATGACATTTTAGAGTAAATTTAGTCAATTTAATTATAAAAGTAATTCCGGTCTTACTTATTTTGATCGCGAGGTACGAAGTAGTATTATACAATCTAGCCCGTAAAATCAAAAGTTATGAAAAAATTGGCGGATAAACCGCAAACATAGTCCACAAACCGGTTTTAGAACTTCACCCACTTGGCCTTGTTTAGACCAAATTTGAATACACAGTTCCAGACCACACTTGATTAAAATAAAATGGACAATCAGACCAAATCTTTAGACCAATCGGATCTGAAAATTTTATTCCAAGTGGAGACTTTTTTTATTCCTAAATTAATATTTGTTCGAATGAGTATTCACTTTGTGATATTTAAGGAATATTCCCTATTAATTAAATAAACTGCCACCCCAGCTAGTACTCTATGAATGCATCACTATCAACTCCCCTGTTTGTTAGCCTGTCATTATTCTTATCAAAATGAAATTTATTTTATTACATTTCTTGACAAAATGTTTGGTCTATTGCTAATGTAGCTATCTATGTATACAAACGTATACATTTCTGTGGCCACCCCAACCTTACCCCATCTATTTTCTCCAAACCCCTTTTTATTCAATAGTAACAAGAGAGAAATAAGTAACTCCTATAATTATCTCAGTTTTGTGTGGCTTCAAAGTAGTGCATGATGATGATTAATTGGGTAGTTTAGTTGGTTCGAATAGTGAAATTCTCAAACAATAATTTCTTGGTTGTTATTCTCAAAGTCAGAGGCTTCTTGCGCGCAATGGATACAGGTCAAGCGCGGAGCCAGGGTACTGGGTCGGTATAAAAAATATTTTAGGAAATTAAGATTTTTTAAATTTAGGGTGGATCGAAGCTTAGGTAGGTCGCCCATCAGCCCATGGGTCAAGAAGCCTTTTGAGTCAAATGAGTCACCATGATTTAATTTATCCATCTCGAACAGGGGCTTGACGGCTCCTAAGTTGGAGATACCACCTTTGGAACAACAATGGTTCCATGGAGGCTTGGAGCAAAGAGGATGGAAGCAGTGTTTTTTTATCTTTCGAACTTCCATAATTTTGATATTCACATAATTCTGAGTTATTATGGATTGCCAAAAAGAAAACTATGATTATGAAAAGGGAATGGAGGATGTAATTGTTATGATCCTTTGGTAGTAATTGATTTCTGAAGTCTCAACTCAACACAATAACAATACAATTGATATCATTGATTGGTGTATGGTGCTACGCAGGGATAACAAGTTCGGTGGGGGGACAACCAGCAGCGGCTCAAGCCAGCCCGGCACCGGCGATGGCAACTTCTTTGAAATGATATTTGGGAGCGGGACTCGAGCATCATCAACCCCTACTCCGACCACCACCTTTTTTCTCTCTCTTTTAATTTTAAGTTTGTACATTAGCTTCAGTGGAGCTGGGCAACTATGATGTACACTGATTATTTATGTAGAAGAAGAAATCAAGTAAAAAGAATGATTACCCCATTTTTGAAGAAATGATGAAAGAAAATTGGTGGCATCATACATTTCACCCTGTCTCACACTCTCACCCTTCTGTGCATATAATATTGTGCAAACTTCCTATGGACCTGTAATCTGACTCAATAACCTAGCAAAACTGAATCTCCATTCCATTAAGTGATTACTTTGAGTAAAGCTATGTGCAAGCAAAGGTTCACGGAATGCTCAATTTAACCCCAATAAGAGGATGGGTGAAGGTAGGGGTGCTGGTCTAGCGGGTTGCACTGTAACCCCGACTGTTAATACTGGTCCAGCTTCACGTTGGGTAAAACTGTAGAAGTGTAGAACTGAATAAGTGATGACCAGTTAACTATCTTGTCCAAGGACCAATTGGACCATTTGGTTTTCCACTTAAAACACCAACTGGTCCTAAACCTGGAATATGTCCAGTCCTAGGGGAAGGTAGTTCTCTCACCATTGCTTCAAGAGTATATTTGTCAAATGCATCGCATTCCAAGAACCTTTCTAGCAAATGTCACTGGCTTAGAAGAATCACTTCATGAGCGAAATAAAACTGTCAAAATTACTCGACCAGGCTAAAGGAAAATGGTTACATTTCAAATCATCACTGAGGGGGAACTGATACTCATCCCTTTGATGACATATCAGCGATTGGGGTCAATCACATAATTATTTTTGTCCAAAAGTGTTAAAGAATGCTACAAGACACTGAAGAAGAAATTTTTTCATGAAGGTCATGGGCGGTTGATAAAAACAATATCCATACCTTCCAGAAGTAGTATAACTATGAGAATGGAAGAAAAAAGATTGAGCTCAACCCGAAAAAAATAAAAAAGAAAGCAAAATTATTGTTGTTATCCCTCGGCGGCCTGTTTAGCAGCATCTTCTTCCAATCTCTTCCATTTTTGCTCACGCTTCTCTAACAAGTCCCCAGCAATGGCTTCTTTTTCATCATACTCACGTTGACACTCCTCAAATAGCTCAGCATCCATCTCCAAGAACATTTTCCGGACATTGGAAGTCAGGCCATGGACTGCTTGGTTCCAGTGAGACTTCATATTTCTCTCTAATGCTTGAAAGATGATTGGTAAAATAGCATGCCGGTTCAGTGCAATCAGTTCTACTATATGCTCATTGTTCCATAAGAACAGAGCCCTCTCCGCAACCTGTCATTTTCCAAGTTCCAAGTATAGCCTTAGTGTTCAAATCTTTCTAAGAATTTACTATGAAACATTAAACAGCCATTTATCAAAGATCAATTACTAATGATGGAAACTGTCATGCCTAATTTCCTCAGTTTACATTTGAAAGTTGAAACCTTTTCCACTTTTCTAGTTTTTTCTTAATCTCTTTCAAATCATGAAGGGTTCACTTTATGATTGTAGTCTAGTTTCTTTCTAAAATTACTTTCTTTTAAGATGTTCCTTTGAAAGAACTCAGACATGGCAAACTACATCTCAGATTTCTTCCTGCTACATCACACCAACTAAATATGCACTGGAGACCATTAAGCTCAACATTCAACAAGGACAACAAATACACAATTATGATTTCACAACTTATGTCAAGTTTTTTATCTTATTGGCCCGTACTTCTAACTCCCTCTGTCCATAAAAAGAGTCATGTTTGGTCAAGGTACAGTTTTTTTAAAGAGAAGGCACGACCGTTATTAAAACTGAAAAGTAATGTAGTCAGATATAAATAATTTTTTCCGCTTGATGAACAAGACTCTTCTTAGACCAGAAAAGATATTAAAACAGGATTCTGTTATTGGATAGCAAGGATCATTTAATTAATATTATCAATAAGATAAAAGTAATCGATACAGTATGACACATAATGAGACATACGTAGTAAAAAGAAAGTCAAGATATTTCAAATCGACAATGACATGGGTGAGTGATTGGTCAGTGTGGCAAGTGGGTAGGAAATACTAAACTAATACGAAGTACTCCGTATTCTGTTTTAATTTTGCTTATTTTTTTCTTGTTTCCTCCAGGACTTTAGAATTTCTAAATTCTTTTTCTGTCTATAGTTTATGCTTTATAGAAATAAATAAAACATAAATTATTTTTTAGTTAAAGTTTAAAAATCCTCTGCTACATTAAAAAATGAGATTCCAAGTGGACAATTGAAAATATCTAGATAGTATACATATATTGGTATATAAACACATATGTACATATATACACATCTTTTTGAAAGAATGAAGAGCAACCCCTCCCCCTTCATTACAAGGGGGGCTTAGCCCCTGAATAAGGCCATGATGGGCATCGTCTCGCAAAGCAAATGCTTACCTTCTTGGTTTATCACAATCTATTGCACATTACCATTTCATGTTCTTTTTTTATACTTTCACACTTGTGCAGTTGTGCATAAACACTTTTGCAAATGAAATATGAAAAGCTATACTACTGGGTCACTAATGTAATGTTGCTTTGCTTTTATGCAAGACAAGTTTACCACTTCACTCAAATTTCAAAGCTGAATTCCTGGATATGCAACTCAAAAGCCTCAACAAATACTTCGGGAGTATATTACTCCATCAACATGTGCATGTGGGTATAAATATTTTTGAAGGGTATATACTAAGTAATATATTCTCAAACCTGGAAATGGGAACTATTAAGGCTACGTCCAATTTGTTTGAAAAGAGGAACCATACAACGATGAAACTCAGCAGGCTGTGTAGCTTCAAGAACTTCTTCAAGCTCCCCAATGAACAGAACCTCCTTCCCGCAATTAGTAACCGGCCAGTACTTAAGCAGTCCCTTAATAACCACACCTGCCAACCTATAATCTTTCTCAACATACTGTACAGTGCAATAAGCCAACTGGTGATGATAGTCAGACATGCATTTAGCCTTGTGGAGTGGAATTAACGCTCGGATAAGAAACAACTTGTGCTCTTCTTTCATAGGAACCGCAAATCCGTTTATTATACTCCCAAGAATCTCCAACAGCTCGCCAATCCCGTTATGCCTCTCTGTCTCAAATATAAACTTGTAGAAGATATTGTTTATGGCCTTTCTTATGAAGGGGCGGTGGACCATGAACTTGCCGTATATACGATGAAGAACAGTCTTCAAATACTCCCGTTCTCTGGTGTCTTCAGAGTCAAACAAGTCGATCAGCTTAAGAAGAAACGTGTGGTCCAGATATCGTTTGGCGATCTTGGTGTCGATATCGGTTGACAACACATATCTCAATAGAAGCTCATACACAAGTTGCAAATGAGGCCATGAAGGGTCCTGGAACATGTCATCCTCCTCGGGGTCACCTCCACCCTCACCCCCAGCACCCTGGTGAGGTGCAGGGGGGAAGCAGCGGAAAATGTTGGACGAAATCATAGAAACCATATCCTCCTGCATAAGCTCAGTCATCTTACACGATCCGGTGTGGACTAAATCAATGAGCTCTGAGAGGGTTTGCCGTTTGATCTCCTTTTCGCGGGCGGATTTCATGGTGTCCGTGAAGTTGAATTGCAAGCAACAGATTTGGAGCTTGCGGATGAAGAGGGCATGGCGTTGGGAGGGCGGGACCTCCTTCAACATTGGCAGGATTTCAACCCCAGGGTTAGGAGGAGCATTTGCCAAGCGCGGCACAGCCTGCGACGGCGAGTCAGCCAATCCAGAAGCGGCGTTATTGACTGCCGCGGAATCAGAAGCAATACGGGAAGCGTGATTGCAGACCACATCTGGGGATGCGCCGGAGGAGGGTATTGAATTATCGGCCGCATCCGATTTCGAAGAACCCTTCTTCCCTCTTTTAATGATCCTGAACATGATTCGAATTTAGGGAAACGGTGGATTTTCCCACTCTCTGTAACGATCCTTCATAACAATTTCCTAATGATAATTATGGAGAGAAAATCGTTTATAGAAAATGGAAAATCTTTCCGAAGACATTAAAAGTGGAAATAGAGAATGAGTAGCATTAAATCCTATCTGAGTGTAGATACGGTAACTAATGAAGGAATAAGTTCCAGAGAAATAAACAAATCATCATCATCATTACATAAAAGTGAGGGAAAAGTGGGTGTGTTTCAGTAAGCGAAACGAGAAAGATGAAAAAAATGAAGAGAAAATGAAGGAAGACGACAAGGAATGATGGATACCTCGTGAAGAACAAAGGAATGCGAGATCCGATAAGGGAGGAGCGGAGCGGAGAAGAAGCAGCAGCCACCAGCCGGCAGCTACATGTGTGTGTTTTTCAGACTGATGCATTTGTATTTTATAATTTATACGGAGTAATTTATACGAAGTACAAGTTTTTTTTGAAATATACTCCCTCCGTGCCTATTATATCTTGCAAATAGGTTTGTCACAGAGTTTAAGATAGTGGGTATTGTGTGGTGGAGAGTTGTGCAGAGGAGAGAGAAATGTGTAAGAATTGATGTGAACCACAAATTCTGGCCAAAAAAGGAAAGTGAAAGTTTTAATTGGGACGGACGAAAAAGGAAAGTTGGAAGTTTATTTAGGGACGGAGGGAGTACTACGTATAATTTATACGGAGTACAAGTTATTAGTACAAATGAATGCTTCAGGGATGGCAATGGGTTTGGGGCGTCGGGTACACTCATTCATCCCCGCTCCATCCCTCGTTACTCTCAAACCCGGCCCATCCCCACCCCACCCCGTTGTCCCCCACGGATATCCATGGGTGTCCCCATTTCGATTTAATTTATCGTATTTTCATTTATAGGGTGCAATTCAATTCGAACGATATTTAATGTGAGAATGTGAGAACAGTCACATTTAATCCAATGTGATACACAATAGAGCCCTTCTGGTGCACATTTGGATTTTGCTCAATACAAGCTAATATAAATAACACTGAGGCACTTTTATAAATATTATGCTTACTACGAAAAAGTGTGATGTATGAGTCTCATTGTGCATCACATTGAGTTAAATGTGATGTTCTCACGTTTTCACATTTTTCATTGTTCTCATTTAATGCTACACAGACACATACCGCTAATTTTAATAATTATTCAATTTGAATAAGTTCTGTGAATTGTAGACAATAGAAGTAAAATTATAAGTAACATATTATCATCATGTATGCCATTACAACTTTCTCAACAATTATAATTGATGGATAGTCTACCCGGGGAGTATCTTAT